GAGATGAGGTCTCGCCAAGTTGCCCAGGCAGATCTCGAACCCACGGGCTCAGGCAATTCACTCACCTCGGCCTCCCAAAGCGCGGGATTACAGGCTGAGCCACCAAGCCCAGCCAGTTGCTACGTCTCATTAGAAAACTTGATAAACTATCTTAAAGACAAACAGCTTAAACAAGAAAACATAAAATAAAAACAAAGGCCTTCTCCATAAGAAAACACAAGAAATAACACATAAGTTTGTATTATGATAATAAAAGTGCTATTTTTCCAAACTTATGTATATGAGTTTTCATATGAAGACTAAAATTGTCAAGTTTCCTACAAGTAGGAATCTGCTTGATTCTGCCAAGGCAAGAATCTGCTGCAAGTGGAAAGCGTGAGGAAGATTTTAACCAAACTCCTTTTCTGAGGACCCCAGCTATAGCCTCTGCTGTGAAGAAAGTAGGCATCAATAAACATAAATTCAACTAAATGTTGAATTTAGTTACAGAATGAATTTTCTTTTTCTAAGTTGGAATTTCACTCTGTCACCCAGGCTGGAGTGCAGTGGCATGCTCACGACCACCGCAGACTCGACTTGCTGGGCTCAGGTGATCCTTCTGCCTCAGCCTTCCAAGTAGTCAGAACTACAGGCACGTGCTACCACACCCAGCTAACTTTTTGATTTATTGTAAAGATGAGGTCTTGCCAAGTTGCCCAGGCTGTTCTTGAACCCGTGGGCTCAGGCAATTCTCTTACCTTGGCCTTCCAAATTGCTGGGATTACAGGCGTGAGCCACTGTGCCTGACCCAGAATTATTTATTTATTTATTATTTTTTTATTTTTGAGTTGGAGTCTCACTCTGTCGCCCAGACTGGAGTGCAGTGGCTGCTCCCGGCCACTGCAGCCTCAACTTGCTGGGTTCCGGCGATCCTTTCGCGTCAGCATTCCAAGTAGCTGAAACTACAGGCACGCACTACCACACCCAGCTGATTTTTGATTTATTGTAGAGATGAGGTCTTGCCAAGTTGCCCAGTCAGGTCTCGAACCCACGGGCTCAGGCAATCCACTCACCTCAGCCTCCCAAAGGCGCAGGATTACAGGCTGAGCCACCGAGCCCGGCTCAGAATGAATTTCTAAAGTCATTTTTAAGAAGAGCTTATTGGTTTCAGGAGTCTCCAATGAGTACTTTTTTGTTTTGCATTTTGTAAAATATGCATAACATAAAACTTAACAACTTGCCATTTTAGACATTTTAAATTTACAATGCAGTAGCATTTAGTGCATCCACAATGTTTTGCAACCATCACCACAACCTATTTCCAGAACTTTTTCATCATCCCCCAAACTCTGTATTTCTTAAACAATGACTCCTCCCCCAGCCCCTGGTAAGCTATATTCTACTGTCTCTATGAATTTACCTATTCTAGGTGCTTCATTTAAGTGGTTTCAAATATTTGTCCTTTTGTGGATGGCTTATTTCTCCCATGGTACTTTTGCAAAGCAAAGAATAAATTCTAATGATTAGGTTTCTCATAATTTAACTAAACATACTGACACAATCTCTGAACTAAGCATGCAGTTCTCCCAGAAATCTTGCTACCATTCCAAAAGCCCCAAGGGAGACCGCAGTCTGACCCTTTCTTAGCCTATAGGCAGCCCAGTTAAATAGCTGCAACTCAAAGAGAAGGCTCCAGAGAGCCCTGGGTAAGCGGATGGAACAAAGGGATTTAGGGAGCTGTGCAGTCCTGAAAAACCATAGGCAAGAAAAGGCAGGATTCATTAAACTGCTTTGACCATGAGATGGGCTCCTGTCTGTCTGTCATTCGCTCCTACACCCTGACAGTTAGGTTAGACGACACCTGTCAAAGTTAGGGCCAGATGACGGTCGAGTCACTGAGAATGTCATCAGTGCAGCAAGCTTCATAGGGTCATGAGTCACTTTCCATGGCTCAGAGGTCCCGGCAGAACTGCCCCGCCCAGACAAACTCAGGGAAGACACAAAATTGGCAGAAAAAGACAGGTGGCCAAAAAGCTGAACCGACAAGCCTTGAATTAAGGGCTGAGCGGCAGTGAGAGGTGAAGAGACACAGAAACAAGGTGGAGACAGAAGTAAAGACAGGAGCCAGAACAGAGGTATTTCGGGGACATATAGTGGAGAGAAACGCCAGGTTGACAGAGGCCAAGTTGAGAAACAAAAAGGGCAGGTTACAACAGGTAACAGAGACAGCAACAAAGGTGAAACACCAGAGGAAACTGAGAAGACCAGGAGCAGCCTTTCTCCCGGCCTCCGTTCACCCGGCCTCGCGCACCGGTGGCTCGAACCCGAGGCCACCAAGCCGCGCCCACCTCAAGCCCCAAAGGCCAACGGACGGACGAGGACGGGATCTCTAAGCGCTGTGTCCGGCGGATCTCTACCGCCGCGGGGTGACCTTGGGCGAGAGACTGCCCCGGGGGCATGGTGTCGCGGTCTACGCACCGGGAAGGCTGGAGACCGCAGGAGTCGAATTTGGGGCGCTGGGACGCCAAGCCCCCGTGCGGGGGTTCAGTCTCCTGATCGATGGAATGGGCCCGGCGGGGCGGGTGGCGCGCGCGCCGGGGCTCGCGGAGAGACCCACAACTCCCCCCACCGGCTTTTCCTCCCCCCATCCTTGTCGCCTGTTGTCCCGACCCCGCCGCACCTGCCAAGGGCTCAGCGCTCACATCCCCCGCCCAAGGGATCCTCTCCACCGCCGGCGCCAGGCCCGTTCCAGCAGTCGCCACCGGGACAGACTCAGCCTGCGCCTCCCGCCCCCGGAAACACTTTCCGGTGCCGCCCCCAAAACTGCCAGTACTTCCGCGGGTGCGTAAGATGGAATGCGGTGTGCGCATGCACAAATTACATTCGGGGGGCGGGGCGTCGGGGATCGCTCCGAGGGGCAGGCGCTTGCGCAGTACGGCCTGGAGCGGGTCAATCAGGTTTAGGGATGGACTACTTTTTTGGTAATTGGGGAACCAATACCGAGTTCTACCCCCTTGTAAAACCTCGTCCTGTCTCAGCTCCCCTGTCGGAGATCAAAATCCGTTTCTGCCTCCACAGCACCCATCCCTCTGTTTGGCATGTAGTGAATGCTCAGTAAATGTTCCATGGAAGAACCCTTCTATGTGGCTGGCACTGTGCCGGGCACCGGCGTCGCAAAGATAGTGGGACAGAAAGTCTTCCTTTAGTCTGCAGTGCTCCCACCCTAACAACCCCTCCTACCTTCTTTCGCCCTTTTCTTCCTTTACTTCTATTCCCCCACACGTTCGTGTAGACAAGAGGTAGGTCTTTCGCGGTGGGACTGGAGCTTCTTACCTTTGACCGGTTTAGAGACCAAGTGCCTTTTTTGTGGAAGAACTAACTCATAGTAACATGAAATCCAGTCAGCTGCAAGGATTTGGTCACTGTGGCTTATAGATTTAGGGTAAATGCTCTTGCCAAGTCAGACACGCCCCTGCGATATTGTTTCTGCCCAGTTTTCCAGCTGTTGTGCCTGTCTTGCTTGTTCTTGGGCTGTAGGACTTGGGAGTATTCAGAGGAATCTGGGACTTTCTGTTAGAATTCTACAAAAGCATTCTTGGAAACAAAACCACAGAAAATAAATATGGAAACACAGAAATGGGAATGGGTGCAGAACAGCTTGTCAAAGATTCTGCTTCAAGGGTAGATATGCTGCAGCTCCTTTTTTACCCAACTGTGACAATGTACCCTCAACAAAGGCCTCCAGGAATTCCCTCAGATAGGGTATTCTAGTAACTGCCCTGTGTCTTCTGGCCCCAACAACACCACCACCACCAAAACACTCATTTTGTTCAGGTAGCAGAGGTCATCCCTTGACTTCATCTCAGCTGGAATAGATGACTCATAATTGGCCCAAGTCATTAGTGGTAATATCTTTCTATTAGCCAGTAATTGGACTAGACATGGTCATGTGACCAACTTCTTGCCAATAATAAGTAGAAGCCATTAAATGGGAGTTGTAAAAAAGTTTTTTTGCTTGTTTGGTTGGTTTTTTTTTACAAAGGCTACTAGGACTTCTAGTTATGTATACTCCTTAAGTGCTTTGCCACTTTTATTTTCTTCCCACATTTTCTTCTTTCCCTTTCATATATGTAAGTAAGCTTGCAAGAAAGTCAGGAGAATCATCTGAGGATAGGCGGAAAATGGAAACACATGCCAAGGAAATTAAACAGATTAATGTTCCAAGGTTATGCAGAGTTACTGTCCTCATCTGTTGGTGCAAGTGCTGTACTGACAAGTAATTTGAAAATCATCTCTGAGATAGGTAAACATGATACTGCTACCAGCTGTGGGGATGGGGGCATTTACCCAAGTCCAGGTAGGATAAGAGCCAAATTGCAACCCCCTGGTGAAGTATAAACTAGTGGAGATAGGCAGCAGGTAAAGTTGTCTCTCTTTGCCAAGGCTCTGGTGGAAAAGGAAAACATTCACCCAGAGGATTTATGGCCAAATTCTGGTTTCACACAGCCACACAATTTGTACAGTCCAGAAGCCTACAAACTGAACATTTTAATTTAAAATGGACCTGAACAGATGGTACCTATAGTACTTGGACAAAACAAACACAAATTCTCTCTCTTTTTTTTTTGAGTTGGAGTCTCACTCTGTCGCCCAGACTGGAGTGCAGTGGCCGTTCCTGGCCACCGCAGCCTCGACCTGCTGGGCTCCGGCGATCCTTCCGCCTCAGCCTTCCAAGTAGCGGGATTTACAGGCATGCACTACCACGCCCAGCTGATTTTTTGATTTATTGTAGAGATGAGGTCTCGCTGCCCAGGCAGATCTCAAACTCGTGGGCTCAGGCAATCCACTCACCTCAGCCTCCCAAAGGCACGGGATTACAGGCTGAGCCACCAAGCCCGGTTACAAATTCTCTCTTGAAGAGCTCACTGTCAACCCAGGTCTCAAAGAACTCCCACAGATAGGTTTCCAAATGAATATAAACTCTCAATCAGAAACCACAAAACCCATGAGGAAATAAGCAGAGAAGTAAAAGCAGCAGAGGTAGAGCCCCAACTACTTTAGATATTAGACATTATAGAGCCTGGACATAAAATAAGAATACTTTAAAAATAAAAGGGGGAGGGTGGGAGCTAAAAGCACAAGAAAGGATCAAGATGCTCTTTTTTGTTTGTTTGTTTTTTGAGAAGACAGGATTTTATTGATAGGACAGAAAATCTCCCACAGTGGGAGGGGGACCCAAAGGGATTGCCCAAGATCGCTTTTTTTTTTTTTTTTTG